TGAGAATAATAATGGTAATGCTGCTGGTGATGGCGATACTGGTGATACTGATGACGACGCAAATGACGATGCCGATGAGAGTGAGGACGATGATCATGATCGGTGTGGATCCAAAAAATCGGGGCGAATATGATGAGGCTAGCGGTGATCGGGTAAGGCCAAAACGGTCTGGGAGCGGTGTTCGGCGCAGCCGTTGTAAATTATCGCGCGCACCCACGGAGCCCTCGGGCCCCGCCGAGGAGGAGGGGAGCGCTGCGTAGCGCTCAGCGGCTCGGGCCCCCCAAGCCGCGCCCCCGCGAGCGGCTGCGCGGGCGCCTCAGCGGCCCGGGGCGGCCGCCCCCGAGCTCGGCGCCAGCGCTGCCCCGCGTGGGGCGCAGCAGTTGCCGCGCCCCCCTCAGCGCGGCGGCCTGGCGGGCGCTGGCCCCACCCGCGCACGGGCCGCGGAGCGAGACCGCGCGGGCGCCGTCCGCGTAGCAGCCGCAGACCGCACAGAAGACGAGGCAGCGCGGCCCCTCGCCCATTATCCAGAGGCGGTGCGTCTCGTCGAAGTTCACGTTCCACCAGCGCGGGCGGGCGCCCGCGGCCTCGGCGCCTTGCGCACCCTGGGCGCCTGCAGCCTCGCCGCTCTCCTCCGCGTCGCCGTCGGCGTGCTGGGCTCCTCCGCGGGCCTGGGCCGCCAGCGCCGCTGCTCGCCGCGGCTGCGGCGGCTGCTCCCGCGCCCCCGGCGCCTCGTCGGCCCGCGCTCGCGGCGGTCCGCGCGCGGCCACGCCGCGCGTCAATCTCCTGACCAGGGACCCGGCGCTTCCGCCCCGCCGCCCGGGGCCCAGGCGGCCCACCAGGGCCGATCGGCCCGGCCGCGCAGGCGTCGCAGAGCCAGCGCGCCCCGCTCACGTCCGAGACTGCCGCGCCGCGCGCGCCGCAAGGCAAGCGTCTGCAGCCCGGCCCGCCATCGCGGCTGCGCACGGCGCCCCGCCGCCAGCATCCGCGCCCGCAGCAAGTGGATTCCGCCGCGCCCGCGCCCGCGCCGTCGGCCGCGCGAGGGCGGCGCTCCCCAGCTGCAGCGCCTCGCCGAACAAGCGGGCCGTCGCCGCCGCGACCGCGTCGGCCAGCTCGACGCGCCCCGCCGCCGCCCCCCGCGCGCGGCGGGGCCACGCGCCCTTCTTGGCGAAGCCGTCCGCGGCGCGGTTGCCCTCGTAGTCGCCCGCCCCGTGCTGGCGTATCCGTCGCGGGCCGATCGGAGCGCGGCGCGCCCCTTCGCCTTGGTGGCCCGCGCGTGCTGCCGGCCGCCGAAGCCGCCCACGGCCTGCCAGAACTCGCGTCGCACCTCCAGGCGCGGGCGGCCCCGCGCACAGCGCCAGGCCTTGCCCGCGGCGAAGCCCGCCACGAGCAGCTCGCAGTCCGTCCTGATCTCGAAGACGCCGTCCGCGCCTAGCAGGCCCCAGCGCAGGGCGCGGGCCGCGGCCAGGACATCGCCCGCGCTCGCGCCCAGGCGCCGCGCGCTGCGCCGCGGGCCGGACCTGCAGCGCCGCGAGCCCCCAGCCAGCGCGCACCTCGGGCGACCCCGCCGCGCCGCGCATCGCCGAGCTGGCGCGCGCCAAGGCCGCGCAGCCGTGGCCGCTGCTCCACCGCGCCTCCTCGGTCTCCAGCGGCGGCGGGAGGGCGGCCGCCCGGTCGGGGATTAGCGCCCTGGTGTAGCGGGTGTCCTCGCTCTCGGACGCCTCGGCCTGCAGCGCCTCGTCGCCCGCGATGGCGTCGCGCCTCTCCGCCGCAAGGGCGGGGCGCCTCCAGGCGAGGTGCCGCGCCGCGCCGGGAAGCAGGTCTCGCCCTCGTCCGACTGCGCGATGGCGCCCTGCGCGGCCTCCTGCCACCAGCCCGCCTTCGCCTTGAGGGCGTCAGGCGCGGCGTTGAAGCCGCCGCCGAGGACCCGCGGCCTGCCCTGGGACACCAGCGCGTCGCCGATCTCGACGAGGGCCCACTGGGATGCCACCCCCGCCGTGTCGTCGGCGAGGCAGATGCTGCCGAGGGCGAGGCCGCCGCGGCGGACCGTGCCCGCCACCGCGACGATGCCGCGCCCGTCGCTGAAAGTCACGCGGTTGCCGCCCGCCGTGCCGGCGCTGGCCGGGCCGCGCGCGGCGTGGACGGCGACCCCGACGCCGCCAGAAGCCGCGCGGGCGCCTCCGGCCTTCACCCCCGCGCGCCTGCGCCGCGCCTACTGGGCGCTGCTGCAGCGCGCGTGGAGGCGCGTCTCCTGGGCGAGCCACGCGCCCGCGCGATGGCTCTCCACGAACCCAGCGCCAGCCTCCTCCTCCTGCCAGAGCTGGGCGAGCGGGCCCCAGCCAGACCCGTTGACCGCCATGATCTCGAACGTGTCCTTGCGCCTCGGGCTGGCCGCCTCGGAGCCGCGCCCCCAGGGCGGTCGGGGCGGCTGCCGCCCTCTCTCCGCGGGCCCGCCCCCTCGGCGGCGCGCTCGGGCGCCGCGCGGGTGGCAGGGCCGTTCGCTGGGGCCAGCGCGTCGAGGCACAGGGGCGCGGGCGCGCAGCCGCTGCCATTTCTTCTTGCTGACCCCGCCGCTGTCACTGCGGCGGTCGCCTCCTGCCTCGGCGCGGGCTGCTGCGATGGCGCTGCGGATCTTCTCGCGGCTGAAGCCCGAGGCAGAGCGGTCGCCATGGCCATCGGGGCCCACCAGATCCGCAACCGAGGCCGCTTCCAGCGCGTCGTCCATCGCCGCGTCCGCTGCAGCTGCCTCGCCCTGGCTGGCAAGGACTTCGACGGGCTCCGCGCCGGCGCCTCCTCCTGCGCCGCTCCGCCCAAGGCGGCGCGACGACGTTGGCGGCCCTCCGCTTGCCCCGCTCCTCGACGAGCTGCACCGCGGCCGCGACCTCGGATGGGGGCCTGGCCCACCACAGGGTTTCCAGGAAGAGCCGCCCTCGCTCGGCAGGCGCGGCGTCGCAAGCTCCGCCGGGCGGGTCGCCGCGACCTTGGCGCGCTCCGCGCTGAGGGCGGCGCGCTCGGCCAGCGCCGCCTCGAGCACCTTCTCGGCGTTGGCGAGGGCCTCCTTCCGCTTGGCGACCAGCCCCTGCTTCGCCGCGCCGCGCTTGTCCAGCTCGCCCAACGTGGCGTCGGTCGCCCGCGGCTGCTCGTGCGGCGGCTTGGCCTGGCGCAGCTCTTGCTGGAGTCGTGCCATCTCGCTGCGGTCGACGCGAGGAGCGACTCCGCGGCCTCGCCCGAGCTGCCCAGAGCTTCCACCATCGGGGCGAGGCCCCGCAGCTCAACCACCCCGTCGCTGCCGCGCGCCTCCTCCGCGCCAGCGGCGCCCGCCGCCCCTGGGGCGCCCCTCGAAGCCGAGCGCTGCAGCGCCTTGTTCTCATTTTTGGGGCCGTCGACCTCGCGCCGCAGGGCCTCGATCCCCTTGCCGGGGCCAGCCGCGGCGCCGCCGCGAGGCCCGCGCGCCGAAGCCGAAGCGGGGCGTGGCCTCGCCCACTGCGACCGCTCGGCGCCGCGCGCGCGGCAGGCAACCCGAGATGCCCAGTTGCCCCTGGCCTCGCAAGAGCAGTCCCAACTCGCCGCGCTGCCGCCGCCCGCACCGCCGCGACGCGCCATCCTCCCAGGTGAGGAGCCGCGGTGGCCCGCGAGGAGGCTGGCGCCCTCCGCCAGGCACTCGCGGAGGCGCTCGCTGCTCCTGCCCGCCCATGCCGCCAGCAGCATGCGGGCTCGCTGGCGATCGCGGCGAGCTCTATGGTGGTTTGTCGATTCGCGCACCGTGTTTGCGCTAGCCTCAGCACGAGGAATCACGTCAACCTGGCTGACGCACCCAAAACCCTCGAGCCAAAACTGTGATGAAATTAACGATGATGGTGATGTTGATGATGATGATCATGATACTGGTGGTGGTGATGCTCATGACGACTGTCGTACTGGGGGGGTCGCTGAGGATGATGAGGACGCTGGTGATGATAGTGGTGATGGTGCTGATGGTGATGATGATGAAGATGGTGATGATGACGCCGATGCTGATACTGCTTTTGGCTACGAAAACGATGATGATGACGACGACGACGATTATGATACGGGTGATGATGCTTCTGATGATGATCAGGAGGAGGAGGAGGAGGAGGAGAAGGAGAAGAAGGAACAGGACGAGGCGGCGGAGGAGAGCCGCCACATGTGACACATGTCGTTTTCACATGGACCTTATGTTTGCTGTCTTGGGGCTGTCGTGGGCTCCTGTGGGCCAATATTGGGGCTCCCTTGGGGCCCTCTTTGGCCTTCTCGGAGCCGTCTCCCGGCTCTCGTCGGGCCCTCGCGGCCGTCTGGGGGATCTCTTGGGGCCGTCGTGAAGCCGTATTGCCTCGTTCAAAGATCATCTTAAGCCGTCTCGGGTCCCTCTAGAGGCCCTCTTGGGCAAATTTCGAACCTCATTTGGTCACTCCAAGCCCGTGCTGAGGCCGGCGTGGGGACTCGGTCATTTCGAAACATTATTGGGACGTCGTGGGGTCATCTTGAAGACCAGTTAGTCCATCTTGAGCCGACGGAAGCCCGAGAAGGCGAGAATGCCAACAGCATGAAGGCTGCCAGATCAAATCCCTTCAGCTACCACTGCCAGTTCCCCAGGTACTGTAAAGCGAGTGCTGTGCTGTGTTGCTACTGCTGCTGCCACTCCTGTTGCTACTGCTGCTGCCACTCCTACTCCTACTCCTACTCCTACTACTACTACTACTACTACTCCTCCTCCTCCTCCTCCTACTACTACTACAACTACTACTACTACTACTACTACTACTACTACTACTACTACTACTACTACTACTACTACTACTACTACTACTACTACTACTACTACTACTACTACTACTACTACTACTACTACTACTACTACTACTACTACTACTACTACTACTACTACTACTACTACTACTACTACTACTACTACTACTACTACTACTACTACTACTACTACTACTACTACTACTCTACTACTACTACTACTACTACTACTACTA